CAGCTGCTTGAATGATAAGTTAAAATCTAAATCTATTTAGATGATTGCCATTTCACATGTACAACATCATCTATTTGCAACCTTAGTTAGATTCCGTACCATAAAGCGATTTATTCCACATCATACAAATCCCAAACTTGACAGCTGTTAGCCTGCTTATTTTTGATAAATACGTTGTGTATGCAATGTCATTATGACGGTGAACAATTACTTTTCCAGACCAAGCTTGTGTGAATATTCTACTCTCTAAATATGACGTGTAGATTGCTGAGTAGTCTGTTAGAGTGACGTGTAACAGCTAAATGGCAGAGACCATGATACCAGCAGAAATATTGTTAAATATAGTTTATTAAAGGGTATAAAAACATAAATGGTTTATAGAAAGCATCGGGGTAAAATTAGTTTAGACAAAATGCCAGTTACATCCAAACCAAACATGGAGAAAACAAAGAAGCATTAGCTAGCTAGCTCATAGTCAATGAAACCAGGAAGGCCTAGCTTAGCTACAATGCTAACAACAATTTTCTCCGATTTAAACCCTATGTTTTTTCTTAAAACGATGCATACCATCCTTGTATTGAGTCTAACTTTTTTAGCTGTTGATATTTAACGATCGAAGTCATTATGTTTTAATTAAACCTGAGTTTTGGCGTCAACGGCCGCAGGTATTAGCTCACCTTCAGGTTAGTTTTGGTGTTCGCCTGCTCGCTAATTTCATACTCCCCCGTAACTAGGACGTCTTTATGGATCTCCTCTCGTAAACACTTTCTGGAATTGACTGGTAAAAAGAATGAAATTGAAACGACCGATTCAAAGAGAACCGGTAGCAGCAGTAGCGCAGCAAAACGAGCCATGGCTACCATGAACCGACCAACCAGCCCCTGCCAACCAACCAGCTTTACGCTGATCCAAGGCTGCCATAGGCGGCTTCGCTAAAGGCAACAGCGCCGCCGGTGAACTGGAGGACGCACTGCAATCAAGTTTGGAACATTGGTCGGCCGTACCTTTACAATTATCAGCTGTATTCCTTGTCCTAGAGCCGTGGTTTCCAACCTTTTTTGACTTGTGTACCCCTTGGGCATTTTGTCTAACCATGAGTACCCCCTCAGATTGCACAAAAGTGTATAATAACCAATGTGCAATAACCAATTATACAATAAAACATAGTTTATTTAATCTTATTAACCTAAGCATTTAATTATTTGGCACTTTATTCTCAACAAATAAAAACAAAAAACAAAAACATAAATAGGTTGCTGGGAAACTAGCAAGGAATCAAAATAAATACAAAATAAATACAAATAATAATAATAAAAAAAAATACTATAAACTCCCTATATAACTACATATAATCTCGAGGAATTGGGGACAAAATACTGAACAAAAATTATAGTCAGACTCACTCCATTTGTTTCACTTTGTTTTCAACATCATGACACCTAAGCTTACTTTGATGAGCTCAGAAAACAGCTGATACCAGGCACTTCTCTACATCCAGTCTGTTACTCTGCTTGGTTGATTGAACTTTATTGATCTCAAAATGGAGAAATTAACTCTCTGCACTCAACCCATCCCCATTAGGAAGCAATCAGGAGCTAAGGGTCTTGTTCAGAGAGCAAGAGTGGCAGTCTACAGGAGTGGGGTTCAAACTCACAACCTGAGGATTCCAAGCCCTATGCCCTAACCACTACACAATGGTCTTGACATGTAGCAAAGTTGAATGTGTACTTAAAGGGGAACACCGTTTCTTTTACATTGGCCCCTTGATTTTACGCTATTACATCATGTTCTACTCAACCATATGAGTTTTGTGTCATTTGGAGCTGTTCTGAAGATATTCCGATAGGTTATATCCAGGTAATGTCTTCCTATGGGCGAACGACTTGAAGGCACAAACTGAACTATTCATAATTTATTCTTTATGGTACGCCAGCATTCATAACATGTAGGCGAATCACTGTCCCCCAGACATCCGCATAGATGATGGCAAACAAAAAGTTTTTTACAGCATCACCCATTGCTGTGTGATTTTATTGGGGTAAAAAATACTAAAGCTGCTTTTAGGAAAGCTTATGGTCTACCTTTAAAGAATTTTACTTATCTTTATTATAATAAGCTGCAAAATTTACAGATGTTATACTCAGTTAGAGGAGAACTTAGTGTATAGAGTCAAAGTAAGTTTTTACGCTTGCAAAGGCAGGCATTTGAGCATGTAATGCCATTGCTAAAAACTGAGAAATAATATTTTTGCATAAATGTACTCTATATCTGCTCTATATTATTGCCACGTTATCAGTGTTGTGGACGGTATTACCTTTAAAATTAAATATTGACCATTCTTCCATCATAATTCACAAACATTAAAGGCATTGAGGATCATACCTGCAGCCTCAGAGGGTCACATGTCCCCGATTTATGCCACAAGGGAGATGCTGAAGTCAATGTGTTTGTGCTGTGAATATTTTTTAAAGATTCATAGACAGAAAGCCAAACTGCTCTTTTCAATGGCTGCCCCAGACAGTGAGAAAGAGAAAACTACATAGTGTCTACAAGCAGATCTAGGGTATCTGACACAAGTTTCAAATATATACAGTACGTATAAACATTTATATGTTCTCCAACATGTCAGAAAGACAACACACCGCTGTTGCATTTTATATAGCAATTTGGGTAAGAGGTTAGAGATACATTTTTACACAACACTGAAATAAAAACATGATTTTACAAACTTTTAGCCATCTATAAAATCTGTTTTAATTTTCTATCCAATGCCTAAAAGGGGAAGCAGGAAATAGATTAAATCATGGGGAAAGCTATACTTGAGCAATTAAAAGTCTAGAGTAGAGATAAACCCTGGTTTAGGTGTTTAAAATCTTCGATTGTAAAGGAACTTTAGACGAGAGATCATGGTAGATATCCACTTCTTAACTGGATGCCTAAGCAAGCGCTAAGCAAGCACTAATGCTTGTTTCAGGTTCATGGGCACATCATTTTGTTTCAACTCACTCATCTTTTTGATTATCTCTGTGGTTTAACTTGTCATCACAGTTAATCTTATAAAGTTTTTGACACGCCTGATATTCGGTGGGAAATTGTTGATGAAAAAAAACGTCCTCTAATTTCTACAAGAGGAAGTGGTATTCATACCGCAGTTTCAGAGACAAATCCGAAAACATGCATGAAAATGTGCCTTGTGCACCTGTTACATACCTGAAAGAAAATGAAAGTGTGCATAGATGTCGCAAATTGGACCTTTCTACAACCATTCTTAAAGTCTGGGACTATTCAAATTAAATTAAGCCAATTTAGGCACTTTGAACGTTGTTTAATTATGTTCAAATATAACTTTAGTTATTTGAAATGTACTGAAATACACACCATTCAAACACATACACAATCTGTATATAACCTGTAAATCTGTAAATCTTATCTGCCATTATTTATCTTGTATTATAAACCCGCTGATATATAATCCTTTTCCTAACATTCCTGTATAATCTGTGCATGTAGCTCCCATATTCATATTTATATTTATACACAAATTTTTACAGTACCTAACTATTACTTTTTGCTAGTACATACACCTGTAATAATATTTATATCCGGTATAGCACTTCTGGATAGATGCAAACCACATTTCGTTGCTTTGTACTTGTGTATTCTATTCTATTCTATTCTAAATGTAAATCTCTCTTTTTACTCACTGCAATGACTTAATGTTTAACAATAAAATTACAACAACACAACACAAAAATAGTCTTAATTATGAGATAGTATTATTTCTAGAATAACTGCTTATCAATAAAAATATTAATCAAGTATAATTATACGGTATATATTTTTGTCTCCCTTAGTCTGATTAGTGGAGTTAAAGAAACAAACAAATATAATATTTTTTTTTGCTAACTGTATATTCAGCATATTGCTTACATTTCCACTGCTCTACCTCTGATTGGTTGATCAATCCGTCTCGAAGGACACTCTACTGAGAGGAAAACTGAGTCCATCAAGAACAAAGTGTTTTTGTTTGCATTATATCCTACTACAAAGATGTCAGTCTTTCTTCTACAGGTCAGGATCATTTAGTTACCTTACTTACATAAATTACTTTTTCTTCCATGTTCAACTGTGTCAGGATTGAAAGTGGGGAGACAACATAAAACATTAGAGCTGGCAGCATGCGTGTTACAGAGTAACCCAAACTGAGCAAAGCCTGCAAATACGATCTAAAAATGAGTAAAAATGTCTTAAATTAAGTATATGTACACTTAATTTGAGCAGGTAAATAAGATTATCTGTCAATGGAATGAGCATTTTTACTATTAAGATATGTATAAAATATGATAATTAGATATTATGCACTTAAAATAAGAGACTGCAGGTTTTTTCTTATTTTAAATGTAAATTGCCTTATTCCATTGGCAAAGTATATCACTTACTTGCTTAATTTAAGAAAAAATGCTCTTATTTTAAGAAAAATGAACTTAATTGGATTATACTTTTTTTGCAATCAAGGCCCCTTCTGACCAAAGTAAGGCACTCTATTCAGTTTGACAATGGCATTTACCACAATTCAAGGTGGAAGGTTAAAGCTGGTATGGAGACAATTATTTATCCCTCATTTCTCCTTTCTCTTTCCCAATTAAATTTGGTAAAACATTAGCACAAAACCACTTTCACTGGGCTAAATTTGTTATCTTTAACTTTATTTCAGAGACGGTAATACTTTTTATTTCCTCATCCTAAACTTTAATTGGATCTTTTGAGGAAGACTAGGATAATTCAGCCTCTTCCTCTAATTAAACAATTATCAAGTAAATGGTAGTGTGAATGATAATTCTAATTTGTAGGTTAAATGCTTAATATATTTCTGGTTTACATTTATTCTTAGTTGTTAAAGATTTGTTTTAAAATGCACAGTAAAAAAAATCCAGATATTTTTGATTTCTTCTAGGAAAACAAAAATTCAGGAAATCTCTTTAAAAAAAATCTTTATGAATGTTCCTCTTTTCTACCATAGAAAAGATCAGAAAACCTAAAAAATGTGAGAAAATGTCCAAAATATGTTACATTTTTTTTCAGGTCATGATAATACAAGTTTTATTTTGCTTTTCAAAACATATCATTATACAATGTTATATAACTGAATTTCATTAACAGGTTTTTACAAACAAACACACTATTTTAAGGATGGGTTGACCGATTTGATGTCCTTTTAAGGCCTTTTGATGATCTCTTTCGTTTGATCCTTAGCCACATCACTGAACTATTTGTTCTGAGTAAATAATATGCCAGTAATTGGACTCCATTTTCTGAAGTATGTTGCAGTACAGCGTTAGACTGACATGCCTGAACACCCCATTGTTGCAATCCACTATCATGTTTAAGCAGGTTGTTGGAGATCTGTCGAAAATGCTGAAACCATAATGCTGCAGAGCCAAAGGAACAATCTGTTTGTGCCCTTTTGATAAGATCTGTAGTCTTATCAGTAAACAGTATTTATGTGGAATAATAAGCTGAAGCAACTTCAAAAAACATGCATTGACAGCTTTTGTCTAATATGTCTGTGGGATTCCTCTAAGGAAGAAGAAATTTCCAGCAAAATTCTTGTAGGAGTCTTACATAACCCACAGAGCATTCTGAGTCTGGGCTTCCCAGTGTGTCTGAATGGCCGTTTCCTGATACTAATATTGAATGGCAGTGTGTGGGAAGACGTGCAAACACATCATTTCGAGGCAGAAAGAACCACAGTTAATCGATCGACAGCTTTTATATTTTTTTCTGCTGAATAACAACAATCTGTAAAATGATAGCTTATATTTCCTGAATACCCAAACCACTCAAAATGATGTTATTGATCTGAAAACGGTTTCATTACAATGTATTGTTCATGTTTGCATAATGCTTCCTCCAGCGTGAAGAAATGCAGTGTTTGCTGAGATATTTCGAAAATCCCAAAAGCTATTATTTTTTCTGTCAGTAGCTCGGGGATTACACAATTGTGCACTCTATAGCTGTCCAGTTTCCAGGGAAACATCCTCGTTACTGATCCCATGAGACGTGGTGAGGACATGCTGCTGAGAGAGTAGTCTGGCACTATAGGTGAACTGTAATTATTGGGTAGAGAAATCCCTGCAGTATTGCTTTTTAGTGCGTCAAATAGTTTCTAAGAATAGATCACCGAACACTACGCTGTGCTGTAGGGATTTTAGACTGAAAATACAATAATAAAAAAAAAAAGATTGAAATTGAGAGTCACTGCAAATCGTCATCAATGATGGGGTTTGCTAACTAATGTTCTCTAAGGCCTTAACAGGACAGTGTAAATTATTTTGTAATTAAATTGTACACTAATTCCCATAAGTAAGTCTGAAGGCAGTTAGTTCTAGTGGATTTAATCGAAAGGTTTCAGGGAAAATGGGGGTGAAAAAAAAAACTGCACAGCACACAATGCTGATTTTTATTTGTCATATTTTGGAAATAATGCAGCCTTTTCCTTCTCTTCACAATCATGCACTACTTTGTATAGATATGTCCCATAAAATCAGAATAAACAGGTTTAGATTTACGAATATAACCTTAAAAAATGTAAAAATATACAAACATATATGTTGTGATCATAAATGTCTACATTATTACTAGTCCAAAACACCTATTATCTAGTTTTCTTTTATACATATGTCGGTGAAATTTAAATGAAAATCACTTGAACACATTTATTGGTTACATATTTCCCTATGTGAGACTCGACTCGTACACCACGTCTTTCTAGTGATTTATTAACCTTTTTATTACCCTCTTGGTTTTGTGTCATAACTGCATATCAGTTGGACTACTTCCCTAAAAGTACATTCCCTCTGACGCACATTGATACACACCCATCAACTGCTGTCATACTGTGGGTTGTGCACGTTATCGCTTCAGGATACAAAAAGAAAAAAAAAAAAAATCTTACAAAAGGAAGAGAAATAATTTGAACTCCTAAGTAGAGCAAGTCAGAAGAAGATTTAGTCACTGAAATTCTTTCACATGTTCTACTACCACAAACCTCACGGTATTCTATTGTGATTTTATTGTGTTGAAAAAAAAAAAAAGATTTAATATGAAATGCTTTTCAGGGTGGTGGCAGAACCATGGTGTGGGATGCTTTTTTTAATGGGTCAGCAAAATGGATGGAGCTAAACACAGGGCAATCCCCAAAGTATGACCAGTTAGAGCCTGCAAATGTGGACTACCCTTTTTTTATAATATTCCAACAAAGCCTAGCTTAACTGAGCTTGTGTCATTTTGGCACGTAGGCGAGCTCAGCTGTTTCATCATCACAGCTCTCATAGACGCTGGGATCTCTTTCCGTCTCCCTCCCTGCTATCCTCATTTTCCTCCTCCAGCCTCGCTTTGCTGTGCGTTGCTTTCCCTCTCTCCTTTTCTCTGTTCTACACTGCCTGGATCCTCCCCTGGGCTGAAGCACCGACGCAGGTTGGCGTCACAGTGGTCTAATTTTACTGCTGTTGATGCTGATGTTAAAAGAAGTAAAAGGCACCTGCTATTTCTGCTGCGACCCCCATCTCCCCACGCCTGGCGAATGGATATTAATAGAGCTATGTTGCGCTGTATGGTCGCACATAGAGCTGAGGAAAAGGACGTGATTCTTCAATGCAAAAGAAAACAAATATAGCCAGAATCAGGCTGTTATGCAAGAGCACATGGGTGAAGAAATAGGAAGTTCTGCCCAAGAAGAAACGTACAACTAGTTTTCCTAAAAAAGTTCTCCATCCAAACAGAAAAGTTCTCTTCTTACAAATACTTCAAATTTATTTCAACTTTTCCTCTGGTCATGCTTTCAGGAGCAGACTTTTATGATACACACGATAACAGAATAGCACTGGTTGATATCTTGGATTGCGCTGCATAAAAAGGGTGTGACCACACTGCAAAGGCTTAAACGTCAGAGTTTGTTACTGGTTGTGCGACAGTAGTTTTCCCTAACACACACACAGTAACCATTTCCTGCTAAAGATTTATTGGGCAATCTGTCTTCTGATATACATGGACATGTGGAAATAGAGTAGATGAGGTAGAATTACAGGTGAGGATGAGAAATGTTGGATGACAAACTTTGGGAGAAACAAAGCGGTTGCATAAACTAATTATGTTCAAAACCTGGAAAGAGGAAATAAATCATCAGGGGTTGGTCTCCTATGACATAAAATGCATCAATCCTTGGAAGTCATTTACAGTAAATTAATGAATCATTTTTTAGTCAAAAATGTTTTTTCCGTATTTTCATTAGTTGTGAGCAAGAAATCATTATAATTATCAAACATAAGCAGCTTAAAATCATGGGTCTGTGTGTAGTTAATCTCAATAAAGTGTTTCACTGCATCTATTAGGTTATTGAAATAATAGACTTTCAATTATATTCTAATTTATTGTATTACTGTGTATTCTGTTAATAATTGATAAAAGAAATTTTGACGAAAAGAAAATTAATGCATTTTTTTTTTAACTTTAAATACAACTGGTAATTCATCTGATTTTCACAGCAGCGTTTATCTGCAAATTATTAGTTACCAAAACTCAAGATATTGTAACACCATGGATCACTAGTCCTACATTTGAAAGAAACTAAGAACACAAAAGGCGCAGTGTCCTCAAAAGTGTTTCTTCTCTTTAACTATTTCTCTTTTTTTTTATCAAACCAACAACCCTCCATATTTTTTATAAGGATTTTATGTGATGAAGACCAAATTAAAACAAGGCATCATAGTAAATACGATAAAAGGGATATATGTTCTTTTAAGAAAATAAAACAATTGGCTTGTATAATAAATTTGCTACCCCTAGAGAAGATCAACCGAAATGGATTTCCTTTACAAGTCTCCAGTATATAGAATCCACATGTGGTTAATCTATTTTCTAGAGAATATTAGTGAATAAACCATCTTGAAGACCGGAAATCCAAGATTGACAACAGTTGTCAACAGTGACAAAGAAAAAAGCCATTTGAGGAAACAGGAAACATGTGGAGGAAGAAACTTTGCTACAAATAACCGTTATTTCACTTTTTGGCCAGCGTGCCAAATGTTGAAAAAATTGGATACCCCAATTTCCTGGCCTGAGAACAACAAACCCATAGTGAAACATAGCGGTGGTGGCATCAAGATGTTGAGATGCTTTTAATTCACAAGGACCGGAAAGTTGTTCATATGAGAACAACTCCTGAAAGAAAACCTGTTAGAAACTGCAAAGACAGAAGACAGCTGAGGAGGTTTCATAAACGCAGAAAAATCTCTCCAAAGATACAACTGAATCCAAAATGGACTGAGGTACCAGACTTGAGCCTATATGAGATTAGGACTTTTTTTAAAATAAAAACATAACATAGATACATTATGTGGGCTGTTCAGTGGCGCAGTGGGTAGCACGGCTGCCTTGCGGGGTCTTTCTGCATGGAGTTTGCATGTTCTCCCTGAGCATGCATGGGTTCTCTCCGGGTACTCCGGCTTCCTCCCACAGTCCAAAAATATGACTGTTGGTTAATCGACTTGTCCAAATTTTCCTTAGGTGTGAGTGTGTGAGTGAATGGTTGTTTGTCCTGTTTGTCTCTATGTTGCCCTGCAATGGACTGGCAACCTGTCCAGGGTGTACCCCGCCTCTCGCCCATTGACTGCTGGAAATAGTCCCCAGCACCCTCTACCCTACTCGGGACAAGCGTGTCAGATAATGGATGGATGGATGGATGGTACATTATGTCAAATCTGCAAGTAATTGTGCACAACTATGTCTGTCAATGAAATAAACAAGTTTGCAGCTGTAAAGTATAAAAACTTATACTTTACAGCTGCAAATATATATATATATATATATATATATATATATATATTTTTTTTTTTTTTTTTTTTTTTTTTTTTTTTTTGCAAGGCATTGTGCAAACTGGTTTAACACGTGAACCATTTCAAAGAACTAGTTTTGTTCCTGTTTTTTTAATTCTGCATTTTTTTTTTTTTTTTTCATTTTCCTCTTGATACCAAAAAATACAACTAGGTTATGGGCCTTCATTGTGGTTAAAAACTTTGCTCTCAGATCCTCTGGTGATTTCTATGCTTACGGTCTTCAAGGAGATATGAGAAGCAATGCAGTCTGGATTGCGGAAGGAGAGCATTCAATTTCCCCTTTTAAAAAGACTTGCCAATTTCACTTCGTATGAAAAAAACAACAGCAAAACCCTAAAGTAACGATGTTTGTGCTTAGGTGGAGAAAAGTCTAAAACTCCATAAACCGAGGCGAACTGACAGTCTCTCCTCTGCGGACGGACTGCAACTGCGACTCCCCATTGGTTTCTATATTTGGGCTCGGAAGTGCAACGTCACCGCGCAACGCTTGCAAAACTGAAAAAAATGGAAAGAACGCACTGACGTCAAATCCCTGACGTATCCCCAGCCTTGACAACAGACGGAACAATAAATAGAGCTAGTGGAGGAGCAGGAAAAATGCAGGTTTCTGTACATGCAAATTCCAAACTATTGTTATTTTACAACTAAATCTATATAATAATCTAAAGTTTGAGTCAAAATCAGTCAGACAAAGGAATGAATTTAAATATCTCTATTTTATTCACATGGCTTACAAACAACATTCGTCAGTACTCTGTAAAAAAATAAATTCAATAAATTAAAAGGACAAGTGTTTTCACAGAAAACTTGATATAGTTTTATAGACCACTCAGACCATGGTTCAGACAAAGCACACCAGTTTTTTTTGTTGTTGTTGTTTTAAGTTTCACAAACAGTTCACAATTACTCTAACTTTCAATAAACCAGAAAACAAACTGGATCAAATAATAACTATTGCTCAGAGCACACATCGATGAACAAATGTCTTTTTTTTTTTTTTACATATCAAGCACCATTAAATCTTATAAGGAACTCATAGAACAACTAAGTGTTAATAGCTGAAACATGCTTAATAACTTGCTACATTGGTGTAATAGGCAAGTAACTATACATAAAGGCAGATAAAATAATAAATAATTTGCTTTCTGGTACAAGTCTGCCCCATAGCCCTGTAATCTGCACATGTGTAACATATTCAAGGAAATGTGCTTCTAGGAAGAAAGTTCATTTTTGGAAAGAGTCTCTAAAGGGCCAGCAGGGTTGGTGAGCTGAGGGAGTCAGAGGACTGATCGTTGCTGTTGCTTCCTCTCCTGTGGGCGATGCCACAGGTGGGGAAGCTCTCAGCCTCTGGGAAGTTGAAGGCAAATGAAGACGTGTACGTGGTGCAGGCTGGTGTGCTGGTCACCACAGGTGTGCACAGGGGCTCAAAGTCATCGTTACCAGTTGAGGTGTGAAGGGGCTCCCATTCCTGGCTTGGATAGAGGGAGCTGGACAGGTCAACCTCAGGTACAGAGCGGGCTGTCTCCATCTCAGACTTTGCCAAAAGATCCAGGGATTCCTCCAGAACGGAGGCCTCCAGATCTGCCATTTTGACTGTGCTGTCTGAGACTGTGGACGTGGAGGGGGCACAGCTGGTGCTGGAGAAGATAGAGTTGGAGGCCGAGGTGAAAGTTGGCTGACTGGAAGTGATGGTGGAAGTGACAGCTGTGGGGAAGCAGGAGACTGGGAAGTCTGCCTCCAGTTCTGAGGGGATCTTGCAGATTGGTTGGTGGGCTGCCAGAATGAACTCGAGCCTTTCCTTCTCCTTCAGCAGGTTGGCAATGTCATTCTGCAGGCTGCTCTTCTCATCCTCCAACTGATCAGTTTCCTGGCAGAGAGAAAAAATAGAGGAAGTGGTACTTAGTTGGTTGCTGGTGCATTGTTATTAGATCTGGTGGTGAAAACATTTCAATAAGTGAGAGTGAATTTGCTGAGATACTTACAGCTTGCAGTGTGTCTGTAAGTTCTCTCCTCCTGTTGCGGCATTTAGCTGCTGCCTGCTTGTTCCTCTCTCTGCGAATTCTTCTTTTCTCTTCCTCCTCTGGAGATATCTGCAAAGAATAATGTAAAATAGGAACTTTAACTCCCAGCTCTTTGAACGAATTCATAATTATATAAAAATGTAGGATTAGATCACATAATTACCTGTTCAGCTCTGCCTCTCTTGGTTACATTATGAGGTCTGGACGATACAGACTTCATGGCTGATGTGGAATAGGCCGGGCTGGGGCTTGAGCTGTAGGGGTGAGCTCTGTGAGAGGGGGCCACTGAGGAGACCAAAGGCTGGACCATCCACTGCAGATCTGGGCTTGCTGAAATAGCCGTTACAGTAGGGATGAAGGAGGCACTTGCTGTCAGATCAGTGAATTCCTGGAAGAAATAAGGAATAGAACATGAGGGGATTTGTTATATGCTCAGGAGGAGAGGGGGGGATCGCAAAAGGGGAGTTTATAAAAAGCTAGACAGTTTAAAAATATCCCAGTGATGTCAGCTGTGACGTTATACACTCTCTATGGAGTTTCCAGGTGGATGAATGAAGATTGCACAGCAATATTTGCAGTGCAATCAAGTCACTATTATGCATTAACTTTTTTGCCTTCAATTCAAAATCAATAAGCTCACATAAAAAATCAATGGGAACATTGCTATATCATTTACTTTTTCTTTTTTGCAAGAAGAAGCTGAACAAAAACATTTATTTGACATACCTGAGACTGGGGGGATTCCAAGCTTGAGTATGATCCTGCTGGTGATGGGTAGTATCCCAGATTGTCCCCGGAGGGGGAAGCTGTGCTGCAGCGAGAGGAAGAGTCGCACTCCGTATTAAAAGCGGTAAACATCATCGTCCCGAGATTAACAGTAGAAAAAAAAGTAAGTATCAAATAGTAGATCCAAACAAACTCTACTTTGGGGAAATGTAAGCTTGAGATGAGGAAATCCCTTTAGTAGGTTTGACAGAAACTCTTAAAAAGCTGCTGCTGTTCGTTTTCCTGTAGTCCTCGCACTGCTACTCAAAGTTAAAGTGACAACTCTGAGAGCTGGGAGAGCTTTTATAGCTTTTCTGTGACGCAAGGAGAGGGGAGGGTTCGTCATTCGACACCGCGAGGAGGAAACCACCAATACATTTGCATAGCAACACAGAAAAAAACATCCACTCTGGCTCGATCACGCTTTTAAAAACGTAAAACACTACAATACATTCATCTTCTCTACCAGCTGACATAGAAACGCGGTGCGTTTTTGCTCGTTTTAAAGCTAGACGGTCGAGAAATGGAATATTCCGGAGCGGGATCCCCTACGCGTCATTTACCAAATATGGTGCATCCTGTAAAGAGGGCGGTGCTTGATGGGAAACACACCATCCGAGATTGGCCTTGCTTTGCATGACGTTATGTAAAACAATAAACACAGAAGCTGTTGTGAAAGCTGAACAAGTAGAACTATTGTCAGAAAATAAGAGCAAACTACTAGAAAAATAATAGAAATATAAAAAGATGTTACAATTCTGATTATAACTTAATATATAAATTAAGAAAATACTGAACATCGGTCCAAAAGAATATGAAGAATAAAACTATTTGCCATCTCGAGGAATTGATCATGTTTGAATAATAGTTGTGGGTGCTGTGGTTTAAAATAAATGTATCCAATTCAATCCAATTAAAAAAAAAATGCTTCATTTAATCCAAGTGGAAATGAAATGTTGTGTTTTTTTTTTCTTTGTTGTTCAAGAATTGGTATAAGTCTAGGCAGAAAGGGTCTCCTGTAATGGTCTGTCATGCAATGGATCTAGAGAAGCCTTTGGATGCTCCACATTTTTCTTCACTTTATGAA